TCAGAGGTTGAAAATGGGAAATAGATTCACGGAAAATGAAAAGGAAATGTGTGAAACATTAAACGAAAAGTTCCAAAGTGTGTTTGTACAAAATGAAATCTTCAGGGAACCAGATACAATAAGAATTCCAGAGAACAACATAGTGCACATAGAGGTGTCTAGAGACGAAGTGGAAAAAATGCTCAAGGAGCTAAATAAGAACAAAGCAGTTGGTCCAGATGGAGTTTCACCATGGGTTCTGAGAGAATGTGCACCTGAGCTCAGCATTCCTCTTCAACTGATTTTTCAGGCATCCCTGTATACAGGAGTTGTAGCTGATGTGTGGAAAAAGGCTAACATAGTTCCAATCTACAAAATTGGAAGCAGGGAAGACCCCCTTAATTATAGACCGGTATCATTGACAAGTGTAATAGTCAAAATATTGGAAAAAATAATTAAAACTAAATGAGTAGAACACCTGGAGAGAAATGATATAATATTAGACAGACAGTATGGTTTTCGATCTGGAAGATCCTGTGTATCGAATTTACTCAGTTACTATGACCGAGCAACAGAGATATTACAGGAAAGAGATGGTTGGGTTGACTGCATCTATCTGGACCTAAAAAAGGCTTTCAACAGAGTTCCACATAAGAGGTCATTCTGGAAACTGGAAAATATTGGAGGAGTGACAGGTACGCTTCTAACATGGATGAAAAATTTTCTGACTGATAGAAAAATGAGGGCTGTGATCAGAGGCAATGACTGGAGAAATGTCACAAGTGGAGTACCACAGGGTTCAGTTCTTGCACCAGTGATGTTTATTGTCTACATAAATGATCTACCAGTTGGTATACAGAATTATATGAATATGTTTGCTGCTGATGCTAAGATAATAGGAAGGATAAAAAACTTAGATGATTGTCATGCCCTTCAAGATGACCTGGATAAAATAAGTATATGGAGCACCACTTGGCAAATGGAATTTAATGTTAATAAATGCCATGTTATGGAATGTGGAATAGGAGAACATAAACCCCACACAACCTATATATTATGAGAGAAATCTTTAAAGAATTCTGATAAAGAAAGATCTAGGGGTGGTTCTAAATAGAAAGCTATCACCTGAGGACCACATAAAGAATATTGTGGGAGGAGCCTATACCACGCTTTCTAACTTCAGAATTGCTTTTGAATACATGGATGGCGATATACTAAAGAAATTGTTCACGATTTTTGTTAGGCCAAAGCTAGAATATGTAGCGGTTGTGTGGTGCCCATATCTCAAGAAGCACATCAACAAACTGGAAAAGGTGCAAAGACATGCTACTAAGTGGCTCCCAGAACTGAAGGGCAAGAGCTATGAGGAGAGGTTAGAGGCATTAAATATGCCAAAACTAGAAGACAGAAGAAAAAGAGATGATATGATCACTACATACAAAATAGTAACAGGAATTAATAAAATCGATAAGGAAGATTTCTTGAGACCTGGAACTTTAAGAACAAGAGGTCATAGATTTAAACTAGCTAAACACAGAGGCCAAAGAAATAAAAAAATTCACTTTCACAAACAGAGTGGTAGACGGTTGGAACAAGTTAAGTGAGAAGGTGGTGGAGGCCAAGACCGTCAGTAGTTTCAAAGCGTTATATGACAAAAAGTGCTGGGAAGACGGGACACCACAAGCTTAGCTTTCATCCTGCAACTACACTTAGGTGCAAAAAAAAAAAAAAAAAATTGTTGCAGTCTAGGAGAGGGAATGTACTCCTGAATGGAGCATCTGGCACCAGCAAGAATAATAGGGTGGAAGGGCCCTACTATCAAAGGTGATTTTAACAACTCGAATTGGCTGATGGCGACGACCGCAAGAGGCAGAGTTTCTTTCACCCTATGCCCCTGTTACCTAGCAGTAAAATAGGTACCTGGGTGTTAGTCAGCTGCCACGGGCTGCTTCTTGGGGGTGGAGGCCTGGTCGAGGACCGGGCCGCGGGAACACTAAAAAGCCCCAAAATCATAAGATAACCTGGGGACAGAATGGCCTTGGGCTTTGAGGATATGTTTAATATCTTCATGGCAATGTTTGAGGTCCCGAACACCAGTTGCAACATGGTGTGGGAGGAGAACAGTGCCAACACTGGCATTTAACAGAGCGTTTTTGGAGACCCGAATAGGGGGTCTCTCCAATGCAGGACAAAGTGGCTAAGCTAGTAGCTGCATCCTGAGAAGGAGCAGCGACGACACGCGTACTGTAACTAGTAGAGTTAAAAGTAACAGAGGCATCTACTGAATCAACAAGGTGTTTATGGAGGGAGAAATTGTCAGGAGGAGTAGAATCCAGATGGTGGAGATCAAAGTATCTCCACCATTTGGCCCATGTAGTGGGACCAAACAAGGCGCTGTAAGTATTAGTACGGGAAGGGATCGTGCGAGAGCAGCCGTGGCGGGGACGGCATTAAGAACCCCCAGAGAGAGAGGGGGTAAAAGGCGGAATAGTCACAATGAGAGACGGAGACGTGCCAGGGGACGAGGTGGTCACCACTGGGGGCCTGGGAACTCGACCCTACCGCAGAGGAGGGAGGGAAGCTGAGGGGAGTAGTCAAGGGGTTGGGGCCCAACGCAGTGGGGGCTACAGGGCCTGGTCCTCCAACACAGTCTGACTCGGGGGCTTGGTCGCCCACCCCACGAGCCTGAGAAGGAACAAGGGAAACATTATCAGCCATGAAAACGAGGAAAAAAACTTTCATTCATGAATGTGCCCCCACACCCACCATGGAGTCACAATTAGAGGCAGGACACCCAACAAGAAGCTATCGCCAATCTTGCCGGGGCCCCCCAGAGGTGCATCGTGAGTATACGCCCCACAAACGACACCTTAAGAACCGTGAGTCCGTCGAAATCGGGCTCAGTGACAAAAGGAGGATTGACAATAAAAGGTTCCCCTCGCTCTCGACGTCGGGTACTACAGTTCTATGGGTGCAGCAAGAGTATGCCTCCCCAAATACCCGGGCGTCAAAATAGAAGAAGTCCAAGAGTATAATTAAAACAGGCAAAAGGTCGGCAGGAAATGACAATTAGAAAGGAGGGGGGGGGGGGAGAAAAACAAAACACAAGGAAAAGGAAAGGAGTTCTGGCCAAATTTGGTAAAGACAGCAGCTGGAGCATAAGGCCACAAAAGGACCGAGGACTGTCCCACGGAGCATCAGGGAGGGGGACGAGAGGTGAAAACTAGCTGTGCAGTACCCTGTGCCCCCTACCAGTGCAAACTACCCCTTCCCAAAAGCAAACAAACGTGCATGAAACACCCCAGCACACTAAGGGCGGCCAATCACTGAACAGCAAATGACCAAGCAGGAGTAGATCTCAAGGAGACTTGTGGAAGGTGGTCCCTAACCCCAAGGGCAGTACTTACAGGGCACCTAGGGAAGGTGACCCTAGGCGCATGCAGTCCAAGTACTTGTGAATTTACTCCAGGCTTGTGTACCACCAGAGAAACAGCCCTACGCCGCAAAGCACAGAGCTTGGTGACAGGGAAATCAGGAACCAGAGTCACACAACCGTTGCCAATCACATCAGTCAAAGAACTAGGGGTGTGGATAACTAGTGTGAGGGTCTGGGGCTCCCAGACCCTCATACCCTTGCAAGAATAAAGTACATTAATTCTGTGCATACAAGTGCACCTAAATATAAAAAACTATATTTAATACTCTTACTATTAGTGTATTAATGGAATTGTTCTGTTTATGCTTCTTTCCACTGTTACTATCGTCTCCAGAATTCTTCACATCCAATAAAACTGTATAATACACTCAACAGCTTTTCATCCATTTTTCCAGGAAGGTTAAAATTTACAATTTTTCCCTGCCAGTATGTTTCCTTTGTATCTTCTCCTCCCATATGCACTCCATACTTTTATCCTCTAACAGTTTAAACTCCTACAAACCGTAGTAATAGAAATTTACACCTGCGGAATGATGTCTACAACCAATAAAGTCAAACGGTACATGTAGTTTTAGTTTCCCATCATTGAGCATGGGCTTGTGACACTGTCCACAAAGATATCCAACCAATTACGGTACTTGCCAAACTCAATAGCCTTTAACAGACTGGTTGAGTGACATGCACCTCATTCATTGAGCAACTACACTTTCCACCTTCAAAATATGTACAATAGTTTAATTATTAGTTCAAAAACATAGCTACTATGTGAGGTATGTTTGAAGGTGGTGATGTCAAAATTACATAAGAATTAAGTTATCTGCAGAAGGCCTACTGGCCCATTCAAGGCAGCAGCTACTTCTAGCCAGTAATTTTCACTCGTATAATTATCCAAAATTGGAAGAAGAAATATGAAAACTATATGTAAGTTTAAAAAAAGATAGGAAATGACAGATGGTAGAGTTTTTGTAGCCAGAAACAGAACAGAACATTAGGTTACAGTTCCAAACTATAGAAACATACAATGTAGGAAAGAAAACAGGAAGAACAGTATTTTCTTTTTGTGTGGTAGCAGTGTGTAATAATTTCCAGGTGGTAGTGTATACATAAAAGCACTGGTGGTTTTACAAATATTTATATAAAAATGCATATACTGTGGAATGTTGGGCATTCCACAGTATCATTGCACAATTACAGGAACAGGTAACAAACAGGTAATTATCCCCCTCTTGCACTCTTACATTTCTCCCTGCCCCACACATGCACTAAAACACTAACATACACACACACATGCAGGCACTCAAATTCTCTCAAATTTATGTTACTTTCTTTAGCATAATTATACTGAATAAAAATGAATTGAGTTAATAATCCGATTTGATTTTTATCTTGATAGAGCCTCAACTTTACCAAAAACTTCACCACAAACTACAAAACTGTGAAAATGTGCAAGTGTAAACACGAGTACAGCAGCTATGTACATTACACACAAAATTGCCAGAACAAATATTCATGAATTTAGCATGCAGTACTTACTCTGAGCAACATTCACTCCACTGAAAAACAACTTACAATCGATTGTTTTGCTGTGGTTTCAATGTTCTTAAGTATTTCATCCAAGAGAGAGGGATAATGTCCATCAGATGGGGCAATAAAAAGCGTATCACTTTTTGCTAACTTACAAAACTGATGACACTACACTTCCATCAATACTTACCAAATGGAATGAAGAAGAGGACACAAGAAGTGACAAATCCGTGAACAGCAGACCTGAAGAACTCTTTCTTATTGAATAGGGCATTCTTGAGGCCTGGGGTGTAGAGCTTGGGATATTTGATACTGTTCTTTTCATTAACATCTTGTTCAAATATGCCCAAGCCTAGGACAGGCATCGATGTGTAGAACAGGTTATACACCGATATAAACATGGGGTCAAACAGTGTCTGAGTGGGAGAGAAAGAACAAAATGCCTAATAGCGTGTCAGTGAGCAAAAAGCTTATATACAACAATAAAACAGTTGGATAATGTGTATATATACATTGCAGTGTGCTTTGCCAAACATATAGAACAAAAGTATGCAGGGAAAACTAAATATAAAATAATATTGTATAATACTGAAATAAACCAAAATAAGGGATAACAAATCACTCTGGCAATCAATATAAGCCAAACAATCTCCCTACCCCAAACAAATTATAAACTTGGATTTTTGTTAAAAGTGAGACTCTCAGGAACAACATGAAATTCTTGGTGTGAAGACCTGTAATAACATTTAGACTCCAATCATGCACAAAAAATATATTTGTGATGCTTTACAGTTGGATAATTCCAAAATCGAAGCATATAAATCAACAGTGAAAATAAAATTGTCTGTACTGTGCTATGAGAACACCAATATTTGTGTACACATCTAGTTTGAGGCATTGTCTTTACACACACACACAAATCTCAACCAGCCATAGTAGGTTGTAGTGGAAAATATAGTTCCATTTCCCTAAGTCTCGACACAGTCCATGAGCTCAGACCTACAATTCAACCCCACCAAGTCTACCCATGGTTACAAATTCTAAGTGTAAGTTCTATAAATGCCTCACCTCTATAAAAAGCATAGAGCTTGACAGCTATCAACTAAACACAAGCATGAGCCATTCAAAAACAGTGTACAACTATATATTTTTTCCAATCATTTTCTGATCAAACTTCCTCCTGAAGCAATGCAACAAATACTATTAAGACTAGAAATCCAGTGTTATGGACTGTATGATGTAACAAGAAGTATTATCTGGACTTTTATCATACATTATTTACATGCTGAATTCTACTTAAGAATTCTACCAACCATTCCATTTTATCTTCCAACCCCTTTCAGATGCCAACCATTAAGTGAAAAAGGATAAAATGTGGAGGAACGTGTGACCAGTCGTCAATGCTATACTTTAGTTCCTTACCGAGGGAAGTGTTGGGAAGGACCGACTATTATTTTGGTTGTATAATTTGTACACATTTATGTGCACAACAACAACACTCACACCTAAAGTGTGTGTTATGCAGTTTAAAATCCAATTCTGTATCTAATCAATTAATACATGTTTACCTATAATGCACATATTTTGCTCCTGATACGAAAAATATAATTAGCTGTTATGCAAAGTTATCAAACAGGAATTATCTCTGACCACTGTCAAAAAAATGCTGAAGTGGTGAGAATTTGATACCTAAGGTGATGCTTGTGGCGTCTTCAAGCTCATGGACCTTAAGTCGTGTATGGACAAGTTGCAGTGAGAAAAGTAGAACACTAATGTGATTGTGAGAGGCAGAGTGAGCGTTGCACAACGTGGTACGACCACACTCATCTACTCCCCATCACTCACCAAAAGGGATGAATAATATGAGGAAGGACGTTACGGCGCCATGCAAGGCACTCCACAAAAAAACCCGCTTATTAAAAAAAAGGTTGTGGTGACCAGGTGTGTAGAGTTTGGGAAAGCGACGACAAAAGTAATCATCAACATCTTGGTCCATCACGCCCAAACACAGGACAGGAAGTGAGGTATAGAAAAGATTGTAGGTTGATATAAAGAAAGGGTCATACACAGTCTGAAATAGGAAAACAAAATAAATGTATACCTTATTTTGTATATTTAATTAAGAGCTCTTTATTTTAGTAGAAATAATACTTACAATAATAAATTGACAATCAAGCATGTAGAAAAGATAACTGTCCTAAATTTTGCCTATTGACTATTGGTTTAAAAGGCAAACATTACTATGGTATCTAATGACACTAATACTGTACACCACTTTTAATGTCTACATCCACTCACGGCATTTCCTCCCTTCTCGGCTTCCTCATTCACTACTTGGGTTAGACATTTGGTACATTTTCTGCATACTCGGTCTCCCAATTGACTACTTTATTGTTTTCATTTGGGAAATACTTTGCCATTATTATTTTCTACAGGGAAAAAGCAAGTACATATCTTCTTACCTTACCTTACATATTCATTATTTAATACATAGCAAGATAACATTATATTACATACTGATAAACAATGGAATTACAGTCTACCTTCCAAAACCCTATGAATTCATGAGTAATTTGGCATTTCAATAATTTTCCTTGAGAAAGGGATGTGTGTTTCAATAAGGCATACATAAGACAGTTGCTCATAACTTGGAACCAGATTTCCAATTGACACAATACTGTACTATAAACAGAAAATTTGTTTCTGTTATGCCAGAAATTAACATATATAAAACAAATTTGGTGAAAATAATATAAACTTCTTTATTTACAGTAATCTGAATGATTGAGTTGCCCAACTTGATTCATTTTATGCAGTTTGAAGAGTTAAAAGGTCCATTGGTTGAAGGAACAGGTAGTATGGTGGCAGAAATTGGTGGATCATCTTCAGGGTCACTGGCTACTGTAGATTTCTAAATCTGAATATTGTCCTTGATAATACTGTACAGTGACACTTCAAAAACTCACTTTGAACAAAATTAATTAAGGTACTATTCATACACTCCTTTCTGGGAGGAAGCCTCGTCGGCTCCCCGAAGCTATCCAGGCTGAATGGATATGTATAACTTTCTGGCATCAGTCAAAGTGCTTGGAGTTCTTGCCTACCAGGGACCACGAGCCAGAACCTGGCCCCCTCAGAGAGACACGAGGAGCAATGGCCTATAGAAACCCCCTGTAGTTGGGAACATTCTATGTCTGCCATCGACCGGGACAGGAACCCAGAAAGGTAGGCGCCCCAAAACAAACCCCTATTCTGGTTAAAATATTGCTGTCAAAAGCCGAACGAGTGGACAGAACTCCCAAATAAAATTATCAAACTAGCATGACGTCATCATGTCGCCGCATTGCCATCTGCGCAACCCCCCCCTCTCCCCGGGAGGGGGAAGGGGGAGCCCCAGACCATCCACGCCGACGATCTAACCGGCAATTCTTGATTGATGTGATTACTGGCCGGTCGAGTGCCTCTGGCTCCGGTTTTGTTTCAGTTCTATGCCTTGTGGTGTGGGCTGTCTCTACCGGTGGGGTATAAGCCAGGAATGAGATTCCACAGTACTTGGGCTGCATGCGCCTAGGGCTCTCTTCCCTAGATGCCCTGTAAGTACTGCCCTTGGGGCTTGGGGCCACCTTTCACAAGTCACCTTGGGTTCTACCTCCGCTGAGTCCTTTACTGTTCGGTACTGGGTCGCCCTTGGAGTCGGCTGGGGTTTTGTTGCCCTTGTTTGCCTCTGGGTAGGAGGTAGTTTTTATCACTGAAAGGGGCGCGGGGTACTGCACAGCTAGTTTTCACCAATAACAGCGGCCGGCTCTGTTCCACCTGGGTACGTTGTCCTCTTGCGTGATTTTTCTTTTGTTTTTGTTTTTGTCTTTTGGGAGGTCTGCCTTTGTGGTCCCACTTTGCTGTTCTCAGGGTTTTTCTATATCTTTTTCTTTTTGGTGGTACTCCCCGCTTGGCCCCCGTGAATGGGCACGTCCCGGGGGTTCAGCTTTTTAGAAGTTTGTTTGGTAGATTTGGCCGCTAGTTCGCAGTACAGTTCACTGGGCTTCCCTTAGCATGTAACCAAGGCTAAGGGCCCTGGGAAACGCCATGGAGGCTCAGTGGTCTGCTGCATGTGACCCCTGCATCCCCCCCCCCCTCGCGTCTTGTGAGTTCGAAGGTTACTCTGTCCCCTTGTCTCAGGGTAACACTCACCTGTTTTGCCTTCGCCTTGCTGCCTGTTGGGTCGTTGGTTCTTTTGACCCGGAGTCATGCGACGGGTGTCGTCTGTACGTGCCGCTCTTGGTTGGTTGCGGCCTCGGATGCCCCGAGACTGCCCAGTTTTGGTTGTTGGGGTCCGGACTTGGGAGTGGGGGTCGCTTTGGCTCTGGTTCCTTTCACTCCTCTTAGTCCTTCCCCTTCTGTTGTGCATACTTCCTCCCCTTGCTTCCGGCTCCGAACTGTAGGCGGGTTTCGGGGTTGGAACAGGGTCTGGTTGGGTAGACTCGTGCGATCTCAGTTTTTGTTTTTTGTTTTTTCCTCTTCCAGGGTGGTGGCGGAGGCATTCGAGCCTGTTCCTCCAGCCGTGCTGTATGGGTCTGACCAGTGGGCTCCCTTCTGTAGTGTTTTGCACAGCTGCCCTGGCTTTTCCTTATGAGGCTGGGGCTTTGGGGATATGGCTCTGCCTTGGGTCCTGCTGTCGAGGTTCCTGGGGTTGGGGAGGGATTGCCTGAGAAGCCTCGGCCCCGTTTTGCCCTGCTTTTGTCTTTGTACTCTCTCTAATTACCTAAGTGTAATTACCTAAGTGTAGTTACAGGATGAGAGCTACGCTCGTGGTGTCCCGTCTTCCCAGCACTCTTTGTCATATAACACTTTAGAGTGTGGGGCTTGCAGGTCCTCAGAGTGGGGATTTTCCTTCCCCCTCTGCGTTCATGTTGGTTTCGGGTCTACCCCTCCCTGGGTTCGGTTCCGCGTTCCTTAGAGTCCATCAGTCCCGTCATTCCTGGGGGTGTTTCACCCCTTTTCCTCATCCTTTTCGTGCTTCCGGCGCGATTCTGTTCGCTTCGTATCAGGGTCCATGCATGTACCTTGATCAGGGGTGTCTTTTTTGCCCGTACATGCCTCCGTGCTTTTGAGCTTGCTTGTCATGGTTCTCGTTGGTTCGTGAACCTCTTCGTACCTTCCAATATTCTTGGAACATCTGTTGACTGCTGGTGAGGTTACCCTCTGGTCCATTCTCGGGCTCGTTGGTCCCCTTCCATCCTCCTCGTCTTTGTTCGCTTCTGTTTCGCCTTATTTTGTTTTCACTTTGTCTCTTCTTCCTGTTTAGATGTTCCTCGTATTTGTTACATACGCGTTGCTGGTGTATGTATGGTATGTGTCTGTATGGTATGTGTATATACGATCTGTGTATGTCCGACTGGTGTATGCACCGTACACCATACACTGGTGTACGAACCGCGCCACCCGGTGGACAGGTGGTGCGGTTCGTACCTTGCGCACTGGGGCCGGGGTGTTTTTGTTTCTGGGCGGCGTATTTGTGTGTTCCGCGCCATTTATCGCGGTTTTCTATGGCTTCTCGCTTGTCTTCTCTCTCCAGTCGTAACCCCTCTAGATGCTAGGGGTGTTCTAGATTTTATATGTGGGGATGTCACTTCGTTCTTTCCTCTGCTTCCGGGTGTGGGGTGGCTCAGAGTGGCGCCGCCTCCACCTTGTCTTCTGCTGGGCACGCATCTCTGGACATATTTAACCTTCAACTTCACATTTTTCTTCGGGTACTAGTACATACAATACCTACTGCCTCTTGTGCGCATACCGTTTCGGGCGAACCACTGGAGATGCTCCTGGTATGTTACTCTGCTCAACTGTGCTGTGGCACGGTCGTGTCTCTGCTCTGCTGGTGTGGTTGTACTGTCTGGTGACTCTGTCGGCCAGGTGCTGGTTCTCGACTTTTGGTGGGGTACTTACCAAGTTGTGCTTGTGGGGGTTGAGCTCTGGCTCTTGGTACCACCTCTCGACTGTCGGTCGGCGGGTGTGCAGCTTCCTGAGCCTCCTGGGCTCTTTCATTCCTATTTTTGCTACTGTGTATGGAGTCTGCCTCCACCACATCCCTTCCAAGTGCATTCCATTTCCTACCTCCTCTGGCATTGCTCTGTTTTTTTTTCATGTCTCTGTAGGTCATTGGGGTCCTCCGCTTTCTCATGTGTCCCCTTGTGCATGTACCCTCCCCCCCATGTTCGGTGCTCCATCCTTCCTTACCCTGTCACTTGACAGGGTTGCGTCGCTGGCTCTTATCAGGGTTTTTGGTGTTGTATGTTTTGCTTGGACGCCTTGTGTGTGGCTTTACTTTGTCCATGTATCTTGTTTTTCGTTGTCCTGTGGGGCACTGCCCCGTATTTCGGTGCTTTTGTTTAGTTTGTTTTGGTACCTGGGTCTTTTTCCTGTATTTGGATGCTCCTTCATTCCCTCAATCTGTGCTTCTGTGTCCTCCTTCCTTGCTTGGTCTCTGCTCTAGACACTCCTTCCTTGCCTATCTTCAGTGCCTGGCTGCAGCCACAAAGAGGAAATGTAGGCATCGAGGCTGCCGTCAAAACCATAGAGGGAACAGCTGCAGCTAACACTACCAACATTACACCCATTACTATAATCTGGGGGTGAATGAGCCAAAGGCCCAGTCGTGGAAAAATACAAAACTCCACAGAAGAATGCAGAACCTTTGCAAGAACTGCATGCACAGAGATGGAGGCACCCAGGAGCAAGAGCAAGAACCTATGTTCTAGTTCTTGCTCTTGGGCATGGGAGCCACAGCCCGTGGGCCACTCAAGAGTCCTAAAAGCACCAGAGCCACTGAGGGAAAAGTAAGGATCAAAACCACAGCCACAAAAGCAAAGGCCAAAAGTTACAATCCCACTGCACCTTACCCCTCAAAGGGGCAGAGACCCTCTGCAAGACACTGAGGAAGGAAGAAGATGGCACTAACAAGTGGAAAGATGGCAGCCACTGCAAATGTAGAGTTGGGTACAAAATTTAATGAAGCCAAAAGACCCTAAAGAAAAGGCAGTAATTAATAATCATTAGCAATCACTCAAGGGGAGTGAT